GCATTCTAATAATGCTTAACTTTCTGGTATCATAATCTAATCCTAGTACACAAGAAGAAATTTTTTGTAGGTAAGAAGTCATTTGTGGTCATCTTTAGTTTAGAATAAAGAATTAATTATTTTAGAAAATAGGTAACAAGTTTTCTTTCGTCTAATGATATCAAAAAAAATTATATTAATGGATGCTCAAAAATATGAGCTATGTATCTATGTGTATGATAATAAAAGAACCCAACCCAAATATGTAAAATAGATTGAAGATAGATGAAGGGTTAAAGTTAATAAATCTACAATTACTTGAATCTTTCAAATCAAAGAAAAATAACTTTCTAATGAAGTTATAAGTCCAAAAGCCAAGCATTATAAATCCATTATCATTCTAGAACTTGAGCTAGTAGTTAAGGAATTTATATTAATTTACCAGCATCAAATCATTCTAAGCAATGCTATTATAATTGAAAAAGCCAAATTATTAGCAAATAAACTTGGAATTCCTAAAGAAAAGTTATAATTTTCTTTTGGATGGCTATAAAAATTTAAGAACTAAAATGAAATTCATCAAAGAAAGCTTCATGAAGAAGCATCATCTGTTAATCAAAACATTATTATTGAATCTCTACTATTATTACAGAATATATGTACTAGATATTCTCTTGATCAGATTTATAATATGAATGAAACCAGATTTTTTTACTGGTAGATTTTTTTAATTATTTTTTTTATTAATTTTTAATTATATTACAGGTTGAAACTGGATCGAACCTTAGCAACATGATATCTTGCTGAATGTAAAAAAAATAAGAAGCATCTCTCTATAATATTATGTATAAATGCTGATGGATTCTACAAATTGAATCCTCTTATAATTAGCAAGTATACCAACCTGTGATATTTCAAAAATATAAATCTTAAGAATTTATCTATGACATATCAAAATAATACCAAGACTTGAATACTTATGATTCTTTTTCAAGAGTGACTTTATGAATTTAATCTCCAAATCTTATGAAAACATAATGGCCAGCATGTTCTTTTACTTTTTGATAATTGCTCTAGTTATATTATAGCAGGTTTAACTCTCTGATATGTAGACATCTATTTTTTTCCTCCAAACACAACTTCAAGAATATAACTTATGGATGCAGAAATAATAATGACTTTTAAAAAAGCCTATCATTGTTTTCATCTCTGGTTAGTATTTTTTTCTATCTATTTGTATTATCATTTTATTATAGTATTAAGTAAATAGATTATTAACTTTTAAGTGAGTGGGTCATTGAATACATAGTATTGGATGAATAAGATTAAAGTTATTATTGAGACTAATATAATGATTATCTGGGAATCTTTTGAATAGAAGATGATATGTATACATATTTATTATCAATAATTGAGATTAAAATGAGAAAATCTATTAATTGTTAACATTTTCCATGAAAAATAACTATTTGTAATTTATTAATATATCCAGATCTTTAGCTGTTTATAATTATTAATATTTATTTTAATTTTTTTTTCAATTTTTAGATGAATATTAGAGCAAGTTAAAGCAGGCAATCTCATACAAAATTTAAAAATAAACATTCTTCAAGCAATTTGATATATCATTGAGGCTTGAAAAGAAGTTTTAGCTGAAACTATATATAATTGTTGGCATTATACAAGAATTCTCTCAGTTAGTACTAATATGAATATTTATAATCTTTCAGATAATATTCATAGAACTGATAATTCAACACTTAATGAGCTTATTAGTATACTTGATGCATTTTATCTTCCTAATACAATAAACGTTAATGAGTTTCTTACTATTAATGATGAGAATCTTGTTTACAAAGTTTTTTTAGATGATTAACTTATTAGGAAGTTTATATATATATTCAAAAAGAATAAAAGTATGGAGGAGAATATTAAAATAATGGATGAAAAGAAGGATGATAGTATTGAAACTATAATTATTAATGATAGTTCAGCATTAAAAAATTTGGAATATGTTCAAATATTTTTGCTTCAACAAGAGAATTCAGATGAATAATTAAAATTAATTAATATTCTTGAAAAATTTATTAGAGAAAAAATAATTAGTTCAGCTTATCAGACTCATATAGATGAGTACTTTAAATAAAGAAAATTGGTTTTATTATATTTTATAAATCATGATATCACTAAATTATTCATCAGGCTGATCAGTATTGATTGAAATCACTATTTGATTGATTGATTATTATAATTTTCTCTAAATACACATTCTCTTTAAATGCATGTTTATGATTGATTCTCAGGAGGGTGCACTTAGAAAGATTTGACTATATACTAATTAATATATCTGATAATTATATTTATCAGTACATAATCAGTACATTAATCAGTGAATAAATACACTATACATGTGTATTATGTAATTATGATTGACCAATCAAATTGCATATCATGTGTAATACAATTTAATTGGTTGATTATAGATCACATTTTTATCACAATCATATAAAACAAGATATTTTCAAACCAGTATAAATTAGAAAATAATAATTATTTTTAAAAAAAAAAGTCATGAAGTTATAGTAAATTGATATAGCTACAAATTCATGACTTTTGTTCAACTGTATCACATTTGTGTGGCAGCTTATTATTTTTGAAAAATTACCAATTTTATTGACATCTTTAAGTGTCCTGCACTGTAACAATAATGACGCTATGTGTATTTGATGATTGTCAAATAGAATTTGAGTATTCACATTCCACAATGTATCTCTAATTCACACCTTAATGCAATCATCTTTCAATTGTATTTCATAGATTTGTTTTCAAATAAATATTCTAAATGGCAGCACTTTTGTATTTGTATTGTATTATTATCTCTTTGATGTACAGTGAATATTTATTAATTCCATTATATTAAGATAATTGTCAAGTTCTTTTGGAATCATTCTAATTTAAAATTCTTGTATATTGTTGGATCAAACTAATTTTCTGTTAAATCAAAATCTTTGTTGGATTAGCTAGTTCTTGATTGACTTTTCAATATCATCAATCATACATTTTTGATTATCAATTATCTAATAAATTAAATTAGAATTGTAAATTTTTATAAAATAGATTCCTCATAATTTGCTACACTATTAGTATTCGATCTATTAATATTTGATTTTGCTTTTTTACATACATCTTGATATTCAAGATTACTTAATTATACTTTGGTAGATTTATCTGCTATGATGCTTATTTTGACATCTGTATCATATAATGCTTGGAAAAATATAAGATCAGTAATTCATGAATTTCTGATCAATATAATAAAGTAGCAATCAAGCAGTGATTACTTTATTAGTGATGAGATTAGTTGGTGTAAGGGGATGTTGTTCAAAATCTAATTCAATATCCAGTTGATGCTTGTATCAAGTAGTTTTTCCATGTGTTGCGTGCTTGTTTGGAATAGTTTGATTTGCAGTCTTTCTTTGTATTCAACATGATTCCAAGTAAACTCCAATTTACATGTTCTTTATTAAAAAAGAAATCTTAATATTTTGATCTTTGCTTGACAAAAGATCAGATAATCGAATCATTGTTATTCTACGTTTTCTGAAGGAATTTCTGCTTTTCGCTCAATTGAATTTCGATGCTTATTCAAACGACAAACAAAGGAGTTACCATTACGAAGTTTGTAAGAGCTAAACGGTGTCCATACATTTGAAACTAAAGGCCACCAATTATTAACATTAATGCTAAATCAGCAAAAAATCCATAGAGATTTTTTGAAATCAGTTTGGAATAATGAATCCCCAGGTGTTGTTAAGAGTATGCCATTCGTTTGACGAACATACTGAAGTGAGTATCGTATCGGGTGAATCCAATGTGAGCCACCATTACGAAGTTTTAAGAACTAAATTGTGTCCATATATTCGAAACTAAAGGCCACCAATTATTATTATTTAATCAATTAATCGTTTTCACATTTGCAGCATTTTCTATTTTAAAAATCTTTGACATGTCAATATCAGAATTATAGTTTAAAAAAGTTTAAAAAAATAAACAGGAACATAGTTATTCTTATTGGATTATTCTCATGTGATCAGGAATCGAGCAAAGGTTATAATGATTATAATTACGCGTTGTTTGTGAGATAATCTCTATATGGACGCGCCCACTAAATTTTAATTCGGTCGGTCATACAGAAGCTGGATATTGTGGGTAAAATCGAAAATAAACTGATTAAATAGAACACAATATCAATTTTGTCGATTATTGTTACACATCTGTTCTTCTTCATGTATATCTGTAATAGGAATTCGCAATTTAATAAATTTTTATCATGTTAAACTGAAATTAGCAACTTAAAAAAGTGAGGAGTAAAAGCAAAGTCGAATTGAAGAATTTTTTGATTTAGTTGTCGCTTAGATAATTTGTTTCAGATTTTTTTTCCAATACAGAATGATTGTAATTAATCCCCTGAAATTATTTGTTGCAGCATGCCCCATATATAACGCCTTCATGGATGACAACATTAAAAATCTTTGATAAGATCTAAAATTCTTTTGAATTTCTTTTGGTTCTTCAAATTTATTATTAAAAAAAAAAACGGAAAAAAAGGGAAAAGAATTTTTGTTCTGGATTGACTGACTGACCGACTGTTTAAATGATCTCTACTAGAAATGATATAAATCAAAGAGTGTTTTTTACATAATTAATCTTTTCGTAATAGTGTATTATATTGCTCGATTGTATCTTGTTTGTTTGTTCTTTTGATTGTTTCTTTTGATTGATTTGTTTGCACTGAGATGGATTCGCTTTCTTTAATTAGATCCTCTTTCTCATATAGTGATAAAAATAATATTAACAATAACAATAACAATAATAATAATTAAACATCGTGGTACAAATATCGTCACATTAATACAAAATTTAGGCTGTAATGTTGAATAAAAATGTACAGGATAAAAAATTTTATGGATTAGTAAAAGATTTTGATTGTGAAACGAGTCAGCGGAGCTATATAAAAATATTCAAGCATACGTACATTTAGGGGCTTCCTTGTAGGAAATTGCTGCTTCTTCGCCCATAGCACTGATAATAGTAATTAAAAGTTCCTTGCCTTTAAACACAGAAAAAAAAACCATGAGAATTTTGTAAGAATACCGAGATTTCTAATAAGCGAAACCACCATACTCACCTTCATCAAAATCGGCTTGGATTTTCTCCCCCAAATCACCTTCCGGAACACGAACATCATCTTTAGTACTACCGTCGCTGGTCATTAGACTAAGGTATCCATCATCGATATTCAATAGTTGGAATTCAGTGCCTATTGATTAGTAGGAATAATATGAATGGTGAGGGAATATGTTACCACGAGAACAAGTAATTTCGTCTGTTTGTTTGTAATGATAACACTTACGGTTAACATTTGGAACGTCCATATTGTGGGTAGATGGCGAGATATCTTATTGTTATAATATTAAATAGAAATAAAAATAATGAGATCAAAAGTATGGGCAATTAATACGTGACAATGTGATACAAACCTTCGAGTTTTTTTCCAGTGAAGATGTCGAGTCCGACAAGATGGACTTTCTATATGCAGATATGAGGTTAAAAATTTTTTAGATTGATTTCTCCCATGTGTACTTGTACGGAGAGATGAATCATCATGAATCATGCTAATAACGAGCCTTACCGCATGTCCATGTTTACCAGTCTTGCTGGTGCTCATTTCTACTATTTTACAGGGTCTACCTTTAAGAAGAACATAACCGTTCTTTTAAAGAAAAATTTAAAGGGTTTCCCCCGTATTAGAATAATCAAATAATTTTCAAATAACTTTCTCTTTAAGACTCTTTTTTTTTTATCTAAAACTAAGCCACCAAGAATCATCTTTACATTGCAGGCGGGAATAAAAAGCACTTGGACCCAGACGTACCTTTCTAAGAGCCGAACACTGAACAGGATAAGTAGCCGAGGCCCCAGATCCAGCTTCTTGAAAATCGTGATGTTGATGCTCTTCGTCTCCCATTATTATTATATTAGAGTGGGGGTAAATAAAAAGTTTTTTTTTTATACAAAAGAAAAAAAATATAAATATAAAAAGATGGCGATTTGGGGGCGAAGAGTGAGGGTGTACTACAAAACTAGCTTTTTATATTGTTATAAATATGCATAGATTTCACCCTCGATATGATGATGATCAATCTCCGGCATATACGTAATATAACTCTGTTGAGATATAGCAAGATAGATAAATTTGCTGGTATTGACTGGTGTCACATAACGTGGTGTGGTTATTTCCCTTATGATAGACATAATTCTTGATGGTTGTGAAAAATAAAAATTTTGGAATCTTTTTTGCTGTGTGTAACAACTTAAAATGGTTTGCATTGTATCCGACCCAGCTTTACTAGTAAAATCACGTATCATTTCGATGATCAACGATCAAATAAATAAGATGGGTATTAAGACAACTTTCGAGGAGAATCTATAAATGGGGTCATAATTGATATATTTAAGTCATTAATGAGTCTTGGGTGACTTTTTATGCTTTTATGCTAAACATCTCGAAAATTATGGGAATTGCGAAATAAATTTATAGATATAATCATCGTAAGTTTGCGATGGCAAATCCTGTCAATTCCAACTGAGCTCGCGAAAAATCAAAGTCAGTAAGGAAAAAAATGCGGAATTCAGAGCCAAAAACTGGCTTCCATTATTGTGTCCCACACAATCTGTTGTTGCAGATAAGATTCCTTTTTGACCTTGCTTTATATATATTAATCATCAAAAGCCTCCGAAACATGGGCCAATAATGATGATAATTGCCAATCAATTCTGGATCCGATCACTGCACAATAGAAATATTCGACATTATTATACGAACCTCGTTTGTGTGTGTTTTAGGCCATGCAATCCCGCACCAATATTAAACTAATATTTTATTATGATAGGTTATTGTCTATAAATAATTAAAAGTGAAATACTGTTCAAACAATGCTACATATAAATATTCATATAATCCGGTTTCTATGAGACCAATGTTATATAAAGTACTAGGTAATTAATATAAAGTAAAAAATAAAATGAGAGTATATACTTATATATAAATAATTGGTTAATAAGACATTCCATATGCTTTTGCATCCACAGAGGATTAATTAGGTATTAATTTTCAAGAGCATCTCGATCATTATATGCTTCATCACTGCTGCTACTTCCATATTTCTTGACATCATCTTCACTACCATGACGACTTCCAATTCGGTTTTGACTTCGACTACTTCGCCTTCTACTAGTTGATCTCGATGCCAATCTTTTACTCACAGCGACACCATCATCTTCAAATTCATCATAATTTTTGGTTGTATGTTCAGGATCCGACGATGATTCTCGACTTGTTGGACGTGGAGTTGTTGATCTGCCTCGTCTCGGGGTCATTATGTCCGAGATTTTTGTTGAATCTTTATCGGGATTTAATGCCGATTTACTCGACAATAATAGACTATTATTTCCGGCAGTACCTTCGCGTATACTGCGACGAGAAGGATTAAAATGATTACATTTTGGACATATATACTGAAGATCATCAACCTCTTGTGGTAAAACCAAGCCATTATGAACATGACAATTTTCACAGATTAATGCATATTTTGTTTCAGGACCTTCATCACCGACAATTACATCCACAAGTTTATCATACCAATGTCGTTGTAAAGGAGACGGTGAATTAGGGAAAGTATATGAACGCTGATGAATAGAGGATCCAGGTGTAATATCACTCCCACCTTCAAGAATCGATGCTTTTGGTGTATCACCATTCAATCCATTGACAATGTTATTTGATGGCATTGGGGTAGTTTGCGCATGAGTGGGACGTTGTCGAAGATTCTGGTTAACCGGCGTCTGTCCCGGTGCTGATCCTGATCGAGAAACCTGTGTTTTTGTTCCAGGAGTGAGCGGAGGTTGTGGACCTTGCGGACTTTTAGGTGAATCATATCTTTCGAGGAGTGTCTTTGTCGTGTAATAACCAGTTTTCTTTTTCAATTCCTCCACTTTTAATTTTTGTTTCGCTCGAAGATGTCGCAGCTGTGATTCTTCGTTCGCTTCACTACGCTTATACCATATTGCCATCAGGTTCTTTACAATTAAAATGAGCGCAGGCACGGTAAAAACGGGCGCCACTTTAATCGCCCACACATCCCAATTATCACTTTCTGGTGTCTGCCCCGCGAAATACAAATATCCGATCACATAGATAATATAAATCAGAGTAGAGTTTACCAGCCAAATAATCATTGCACGTCTCTCCCGAATTTTTATTTCGGCAAGACGTACTTCGGCCAGCCGAATATTATTATCGAGCTCGGACAAGATTTTCTCATAATTATCGTCCTCTTTTGCCCGAAATCGGGAAATTACGCCTCCCATATTGCCAGAGAAAAGATTTATTTTTAAGAGATAAACCGATAAATGCAAGGAGAGATGCTCAATTATCGTATATAAGTGGGCTGTGCTTTATTAATTTATTATTGTTGATTATTTTTATCTCTGAATAAGAGAACACGGAAAAGAATAAAGAAAAATACGAGAAATAGTTTTTGGTTGTGTGATGACGATACAAAACTTTTTTTTGTATAGTATGATCAACAAACCACCTTTTTGGCGTCAAGCGTGAGCACGCACTGATGTAACGGTATAATGATCGTATGTTCTAAATATGGTTGGTCTGCTTGTCTGTGTGGTTGCTGGGCATTATAATAGCGTGAGCAGTAATAGCGGGCCAACCAATAATTGGGTGCGACGACGAGAAAAAATGATCGGTGACACAATATTTCATGTGTCTAAAACGAGATTCTCTGGTTCTAGAATATTCTCGTGCTCAAAAAAAAAACTTTTTTATTGGTGATCGGAGAATTACAACAGTTATCTATTATATATCATCCACGTAATTCTTATTCGTCATAACTCTTCTGGTAATTTATTACCGAGGATTTTCCACGTGTCATATAATCTTTGAGGGAAGTCAGCGAATTCTAATTTTATCATAATAAAAATTTTGGCTCATTATTTAAAAAACAATCAAAAATGACATGACGTATGTATGCTTAATTGTTTACCTGATATGCTTGTTCCATCGGAGCCAATAGCTCATGTTTGATATTGATCTTTTTCACTTTGTCCAAATGATTTGCTTTTTTCAGCATTTCTTTAAAATGCCTCGCCTAAAATTAATGATGCTCACTAATCATATTAAGTCAAACAAAGAAGTGACATTACAGAATTAACCTCTTGAGTCTCCACGAGTGAATAAGCCTCGCCTGCTCTGCCAGCACGTGCTGTTCTACCGACACGATGCACGTATTTTTTCATGAACAAAGGAACATCATAATTTATCACGGTATCCACGCAATCTAGGTCAATTCCACGAGCAATTAAGTCTGAGCAGATTAATCTTTTTTTTTTTAGGAAAGAATTTTAAGTTATAGAGTATGTCATGAAACAAGTCAGAACTAGATAAAAAGTAACGCATACATATGGATCTTGCCCGCCTTAAATTTGTTTAATATCTTAATCCGTTCTTTTTTTGACAAATCACTTGAATATTCAGTAGCAACTATCTGTTTTTCGTCGATATCTTTGTCGTCATTATTACTGGATCTCCCCGTGTCATTAGAGAACGAAGCTTCAAAAAATTGAATTAGCTTTGAAAGACGATGAGCCGATTCGACTGATTTCGTGAAACACAATACCGCGGAAACGTGATAATTATGTAAAAGATGAAGAACGACAAGAGGTTTTTCTGAAGATGATGTTATTATCATGTATTCCTGTACATTAATCAATGATGCCAAGAGAATCATAAGTAGAATTTTACCTAATGGCTGATTTGAAGATTAGGTGAAAAATGATGGTGCATACCTTTAAGCTACTTGGTATTGTGTATTTGATCTCGGTTTGTAGTTGTCCTTGCTTTTGATCGTCAGTCGGTAACTGGACCGCAATATAACGGGGATTCGTCAATTGTAGACTTGCAATTTTTGCGGGATTACGTGTAAGAGTAGCGGAAAATAAGAGTTTTTGAACCTATTATTTTGAGATAATCACGTTATTTATCAATCTGAGAATAAATCAAAAGTATTAAATAGGATATCGCCACATACAAATGGTTCCTGTATATCCGAAATGTCCGTTGGTGGTAGCCCCAAAACACTAGTAGCACTACAAACCGCGTCATGAATCGGAATTTCTTTACTAATGTTTATTAAAAAATGATATTGCTATTAGTAAAGTTAATTCCGAATGGAAGAATTCTTTATATTATTGGGAAAAGAAACCTTAGAAAATCGGACGAGGAGAGGTCATAATCAGCAATTAATTGAGATTGCAGTTCTTTGTGATTTTTGTTGTTCTCTTTGTTATAATATGCACCATCATCATTGTTATTATCTATCTTCTGTGTTTGTGTACACGATTGTATGGCTTTTAATACGTGAGGTAACCAGTCTTGATAGCTTTGATTCAGGAGACGATCCGCTTCATCTATTATCTTTCAGGGGATTCGGTTAATAATAATATTATTAGCAGTACCAATAGAAAAATACAATATAATAATATATTACATACCAAAAACCGAAGATGCTGTAATGTAAAATGAGGTGTAATTGCCAAATGATCAATTAATCTTCCCGGAGTAGCAATGAGTATGTCTATTTTACTGAGACCACCCAGCAGACTGCCTTCAATATCAATTATTATAAAAATTAACCATTGTTATAATCAGAAAATTCAATCATTAGTGCAAAGACGGATATACCGGAGGTTATTCTCATTATTTCCAATTATCTGTGCTTGTTCGCTCGCAAATGATGCCTGTCCCGTTATCACTCCTACCTTTGGTGCATAGTTGTCATGATCATTGAGTAATTTTTCTCTATGAAAATCATTTTTAATTATTTAATTTAATTGAGGTTGGTTACCTTCAAATCAGTGCCTTTACAAAAAGCCTCAAATGTTTCTTTTACTTGAGTAACCAAGTCCCTTGTTGGCAGTACAACAAGTGCACGAAGACGTGTTACAATGCGTTTTGATAGAATCTGGAATTATTTCCATCGATGATTAGAAAAGATTACGTCTAAAGCGTCAGAATGAATTCAACCAGAATTTTATAAAACCTCAATAATCGGAAGCACGTATGCCAAAGTTTTGCCACTTCCCGTTGGTGCCGAGACGCAAATATCTCCTGGTGGTGAGAGATGATGCGTATTTAATAGTGAACGAGAGCTTAAAAGAATGGGGATTACAGCCAGTTGTACTGGTAGCATCCAGTAAAATCTAATTAATAAAGATAAAAATTTACAACGATAGCATACAGAACTAAAGAAAACATACCCGCAAAAAATTCAGTTATTCCCAATGCCTTACATCGCGCAATCAATTCTTTCGATAACCCAAATCTCTCATCACCTTCATTATCTTTCTTATCAACAGGTACTGTCTTATCTGGATCGATGGTAATAGGATGCGCTATCCAATCGGTGATTCCTAGTCTTTTACTTATTGCCATTTCAGCGGCAGTTTTTTTGGGTATCTCGAATCTTGGAAATGCTTCCAATATATTTTCATTTAATCCTTCTATCGCTGATGATGACGATGCATGTCTTTTACTTTCTATCGAAACTGTTGTGCGCTCTTCGTACTTTCGCTCGGTCTTTTGCTTCTTTAGTTTAACCTCTACTGATACTTTTTCTGCCGGCTGTCGTTGCTTTCTTTTACCGGCAAGTCTTTCATTTATCTTCGACAATAATACCTGCTCTCTATTAATACTATTATCAACATTATCAATATTAATTGAATTTATGTTTTTATCTCCTTTTTGTTCAAGTCCATATCGGATTATAGGAAACATGGTGAACAAAAAACTGCAAGGCAGGTAAGATAATTTTAAGATTTTCAAAAAATTTCATCCCCACGTGGAATTTTGGACATATGTTAGCCACCCCGAGAAATCAAATCAATATGTACAGTCGAATGCACAAAAAGATGTTTCAAACAAGAAATTTTTTGTCAAGAAAAATGTATATAAATACCAAAAAAGATTTTTACTTTATTAAGTTACAGGAATTAAAGTAATAATTAAATGAGTTACGTATGATAAACTAATAAAGTCCTTCAAGATTATCGCTACCATCAACAAATGCACCTACAGCACCCAAATATCCATCGTGTCGAAGAAAAAATGCTTTCATGGTTCCCTGAGACCAAAACTTTATGGCATTTGATAGCGTATTCATAGTGATTAGGCTTCCTAGATTCGAAAAAAATTTAATAAATTGCCAATAAAAATCAAACGATTTATTTTAATTACAATATATATATATATATATATATATTACTTTGAATGTATCCTCCCCCAAAATAGAGTCGATTTAATCCGTGGACTTGTGCATTCAGATATGCAATTTGTCCTATATTGTTACTAATGTATCATATTAAAATAATTATTACAGGAAATAAATTAACAATCAATCAACCTTGATAAGTTAATGTTTACCTAATCATTAATAATAAAGATTGAGAAATATCCTCTTTGCGTATATTACTCAAATTCAACTCTTGATGCTCATTTTTCCTGAAAGGTTTGGCCATCGACGAAGCAATGACGGAAGATTTTAGTGATCGTTTTGTGTAATCCCCGCCATAGATATCACCGACGGTTAGATCCTAAAGAATATTGATAATGATAGAATAACTCTATGTACCTTATGATGTACAAAGTTTATCCTTCCTCGGCAAGGAAACAGAGTACGTGAAAAGTCTAGTTAAAAATTAAAACAAATGTCTTACCACTTTAGTATTATCTCCACTTTTACTCAATTCTAGCATCTCTATTATAAAGAATTAAATGACAGGCCTTAGCTTATATAAATGTCTAATCTTTATTGTATGTTAATAAAAATGAATTTACTATAAATTAGTATTATATACCTTCAAAAGACTTGGCCCCAGTTAACAGAGATGCTAAGCCCCAGTAAGTGCCTCCTCCCACCTTTAAAATCCACGCAGGAGAAAAATTAATAAAAACTATCTTTAATAAAAGAAATCAGATAGATATCAATGGACTTACTGAAGAGCCTGATATTCTTTCAAATTGATTTGGTCCAGTAACTTTTAATATACTGTTAAGAAAATAGATGATTCCTTTTCTAATGATCTCTGACTGCAATTTTTTATATCTTATAACAACGATAATAATAATAACAACCTTACGCCTGTTCCAATATTCACAAGCTTCCTTGGAGTAAAAATAAAAGATTAAAAATCTCGAATATACTTTTTTCATTTATAAGTAAATACCAATGATTCAAAATAACATATTTTACCATATAAGGATAGATTATATCTGGTTTTAGTTCATAACATATCATTGGACTTTGACCACCGTTATAAGTGAAGACTTCATTTGGAATACGAGTAATTAGAAAATTCAATCCTGAAAAGATATATAATATGTCATCATCATCATTATTATTATTATTAGATCGAGATAAAATATATGCATATAATATCGATAAATATACCAGAAGTTAGACAATCCATTTCATCCTTCTTCTCAAACTTAATTCCCTCCAAATTATTTATAAACTTCTCATGGTATTTATGCGCGCCGCCACCTGTTGCATTCACCAATATTTTGTAACTTTTCTCATTTTGATTATCATCATGGCTCTTGTCATTATTACAATTACGAGATCTTCTCTCCGCAACAAGCTTCCTGATAAATTCAATGCATTCATCAATGTTATCTGTACTAAACTTCACAAAATTTAAGTTTCCCCCTTTCTTTTCTTTCTCTTCTTTTTCTCTTTTCTCTTCTTTTTCTTCTTTTTCTCCTTTCTCTTCTTTCTCTTCCTTTTCTACTTTACTTGACGAAGAATTCGAATTCACCGAGAAAAATACTAATTTTGCCAGAGAACCTCCTATCTTTAAAATTATTTGATCAGGATATTATAAGCACCAAACCTCTTTAATGACAAAGTTAAAGTATACAAATATTAGAAATCTTATCTATATATTTACATCTACGCCTATATGCGAAAGATATTCTGTTTGATTCGGAAATTCCAAGTCAAGTTTTTGTGGAGGAAAAGGTGTGTCTTCTTGAGAAATAAGAGTCGAAGAAACATCAGCAGCGGCTTCAGGCAGGTTCTCTTTTGTGGTTTCCATTCAATGTTAGACTTGCCATTCATGTAAGAAATTCGGAATAACTAAAATAACCTAAAATTTATTTGATTCACCAAAATCTAACCAATCGAGGAATCGGCGCTTAAATTTTTCTCAACAAAAAGTAAACTATCATGTGATAATTTTTAAGGGTTGTAGATTTTTGCAGAACGCTTTAACTTTTTTGTTATATACACAAAATATATCAATATTTGCTAAAGTTAAATTCTTATAGTATGTCACAAAGTAGATTATAACAAATTTTTTCAAAATTGAAAGATTCAATTATTTCGGAAGCTCGATCACGACCACTTTCTTTAGCTTTTTCAGATGATACTTAAATAATGTTTCTTCAATTTCTTCTAAGATTGGCTTTTTCATCCCAGATTTAAAGTAACTCTAATACTTTGTCTTCAAATTTTTCTATTCCTATAGTTTTAAGGCAAGGTTACATTCTACGAAAGGATCTCCCGACTCTGCTGCTTTCAATAATCACTCGAATGCTTTTTGATTGTTCCTATTCCATTTTGATAGCAATAACCAAGATTATTTTGTGCATCAAGACGTCCTGACTCTGCTGCTTTCAAGCACCATTCAAATGCTTTTTATTCATCTTTGACTGCTTGAAAAAATCTAGTTCAAAATCGTCTATTTGTTGTTGGCTCATGATTTGATAATTGAGATGATGTTAAATTTTTTTTTTACTTGATCTTAAAAATATAACTATAAAGAGGTGTGATTATAAAGGTTTCTAACTGTATAAGAAGAATTCCTCTTTGTCTATACTAAACTAAACAATCTTGAATATATAGAGATGACTGGATCAGAAGAGAAAATGGAAGAATTTTATACTGACAGATATAAGTTCTAATAAAAGAAAAATTAACTTGCCTTTTTAATGGGGATAAACGCGAAGTTGTATTGAAATCACGTATGGATCATTAATTACATGACCCGACAATTTTTTTTATGGTGGGGGAAATCTTAACTCGTCAATCACGTGAATTTGTTTCAATTTTGCGTATGCAATATAATATAGCAATTATTTCTTAAAAGTTAGTATAAATGCTAATTAAATGGGTGTTTCTTAATAATGGTTAGGTATAATTAATTTTTTTAGAAACTTAGATCTAATATTAAACTAATAAAAATTATTTATATATGATATATTATTATAATTGATCAATAAAATAAGTTTTACATAATAAAAAATTACATGATATATTTTTAATTTATATAAAATGTATCTAATTTAAAATACTTATAACTTTTTATTTAAAACTTAAATTAAAATTCTGATCAGTAGTTTAATAGTATATATCTTAAATAATATTATTATTAATTTATTTTTTTAAAATTTAATTTATTAAAGTTTCTAATAGTCTTTAAATATTATGTAATTTATTGATGAGTTAAGATTTCTCACACTATAATATCTCTAGCTATAGTAAAAAAAAGTGATAGATTATATGATTTTTAAGAAGTAAATTAATTAAATTACAAGATTGAATATATAATAATAGTTATTAATTATATAAACTGATATAAAAAGATTGATATACTAATATAAAATTAATAATTACTTTTAATAAAAATCATTCAAGTTTTAATTAATCTTCATAAATTTTTTTATATTAAATAAAGAATAATTTAAATTAACTTTTTATATTATTTTAATTATTCTATTATACTTTAATTTAATAATAATAAAGCATTACTTTATTAAAAAAATTAAAATAAAAATTCTTTTTAAAAAAAAGATATTTTAAATATTAACATTATCAATTTATAAGATTAGAACTTTAAATTATATAAATAAATTCTTCTAGATTTGATAAATATATATTTTAAATTTTATCAAAATTGAATTAGTAGTTATAAAGATATTAAAATTTAAAATTTAGTAATTAAATTATTTATTTTATAATTTTATATTAATTTTAATTAAATTTTATATAATATTGTAATATAAACTTTTAGTAAAATATTTATTATTAGTCACTTTATATTACAATATAATTGAATAATTAATTATTTATATCTTATTGAATATTAACTATAGAGAATATTATTTGTAAATATTTTTAAATAGTTTTACAAATATAATAATTATGATAAAATTATTGTGACAGATTAAAATGAAATTGGGATCTTTTTGAATCCTTTTTTAATATCTCTGAAATTTATATATACTCTTCTATTAATAAAAGTTATTCTAGCTCCTAATCCAAATTCCAAAAAAAATCTAGAAAATTGTTCCCAAAAAAATATGAAATTTTTCATATTAAAATAAAAAAAATTTTATTTTAATCTGATTTCATTTTAATCTGTCATAATTATTATAGTAAAATTAATAAAACTATTATAGCAAAACTAATAATACTATAATAAAATCAATATTATAATATTAGTTAAAGTAATATTTAGATCATAATAAAAGTAATATAAGTATTATAATAAAAGTATTATTTATATAATCTCTAAAATATATAAAAGTGATATATCTTAACTAATAAAAAAAATAGTTAATTAATTAATTAATTAGTTAATTAGTTTCTTATTTAGTTTTGAGTTCTATAAGTTTAGTTTTTAAATTTATATTTAGTAAATTTTAGCAAAGAGAATTTTAAAAAATATCTCTTGTAAAATAAATCTTGATTAAAGATCTATTATCTTATCTTATTAATAAATTAATTATTATATTTATCTTTGAATTATATTTGAAATTAAATTATATTTTAGTTAATTATATTATAACTAATCACTTATTCATATAATACAATAGATATGGTGCAGTATATAGTACAGCTATAATATGTAATACAGTAATTACTGATCACTAGTATTGTTTGCTAGAATATCCAGTAAGAGTTACTGGAATTAGAATATTACTGGATCTTACTGGATGGAATTATATAACAGATCAGCTTCTAATAATAAGTTATCACTGAACTCTTCCAATTAGAATTTTTTATGCACTGAATGGAAGATCTAGTAATGTCCAGTAGCATTCAGTAACTTTTAGTAATAACTTAGCAAATTTTTTATATTATTATACTTAATATAAAATAGCTCAATGACATACGGGTGGTCCTGGAAAATATCAATTTACGAATAATATTATTATACTTGGAATAAAAGCTACAAACAAATACAATACTTATGGTATATGCAAAGCTTGTGACAAAGCTTTTGATCAGGAAGAAGCTTTAAAAAATCCAGTCACTAATAAAAAAAATACTATTTGAAACCATCTAAAAAAATATGGATATTTTTGTGTCAAACTGGAATCTCAAGAAACAGTAGATGCATACTATAATAAGATGGATGATGAAGCAAATACTTCTCAAAGTTCAAAAAAATGCTGAAACACTAACATATCAGATAAATCATTAATAATTTTTGAAAATTGTATTAAACATATTGATAATTAATTTTTTTTAATAGATGATGAAATTCATACAAGCAATATAATCTCCAGTATTTCTTCTTCTATCACATTTCAATCACTTCAAAATTCAAAAAAAAATAATCAAATTTGATAGCTAATTATATTGTTAGAAAGATTACAATAAAAAAGAAATCCAAATTCAAATAACTATTACTTTAGATGATAATATCAAATAGATGGGCTTTTTAATAGATAATAAATCCAGTAACTCAAGAGTTTTTAAGTTTTTAAATCCAACTCTAACGCTTTCTGACCGATATACTTTATCTAATCATATCCTAAATACTGAAAAAGCTAATTTGATCATGTTTTGTGAACAAAAACTAAAAGAAGACAGTATTGGAGTTATCTTGACATTTGATGGATAGAAAAATGTTCTAAAATAACATATTTTTGATTCATTATTTATCTTATCAACTGGTAAAGTTCAAATTTGGGAGGCAATTGATATAAGCTCAGAATGAGAATAAATAATTAAAGTTATTCCAAAAATTAAAAGTATGATCAAAGATGTATCAGATATAAGGGCTAAATTATTAGCAATTATTTCTGATAGTGCACTTGCATATACCATTGCAAGGTAAATATTATATTGTTTCTTTAAAAAATTTATATTTTAATTACTTTTTTGAACAGATACTGTCTATGATTACAATATTCAAAATTTACTTTTCTTCCATGCTTCACTTATCAATATAATCTTGCTGTAAGTGATATATTCAAGAAATCTAATGAAATCAAGATCACATCAAAATAAGTAATAACTATAGTCAGTTATTTTAATAATGCAATTCATTCATATTTTATTGGAAAGCTTTGAGAAGTACAAAAACAGATATATTTGAATTATATTACCCTGATTTGTTCAGATGATACTCATTAGAATTCTTATTATTATTGTTTTAAGAGTTTGATAAAATCTTACCAAGCTTTAAGAGTAAGTATTTCAATTTTTGATTTATTAATTTAATTGAATCTTTAATTTAACATATTAAATTTTTTCAAGAATCTAGCTACTACTTATGAATTACCTTTAGATCTTAATGAAGAATCAAGTCAATATTCAACTTATCTCGATGAACTTTATCTGCCATGAAATATAATATTAATTCTGCTTAATGACAACTTCTAATAATCAATAACATGATTACATTCTTTGCTTCTTCCTCATTGTGAAGCTCTCAACAAATTACAATCTGATACTGCCCATTTTTATGAAGTATTACAAGCTTTTAGCAGAATTTTGAAAATATGGGAAGAATATTCAGATCAAGATTTGGTACAATATATGATCTGACAACTAGAACAAAGATGGAAACAATGAGAACAACTATTATTATTATTGGGTTTTCTTTTAAATCCAAATATTTGTAATACATGATTCAGAATTACTACTGAAAATTTGAATTTTACATACCTTGCTTAATTTATTACTTATTATTATAAGACTTGGTTTGGATACTGGCCAATTTGCATTTTGCTTGAGCTAAAAGAGTATAAAAAACAAAATTATCTCTTTGATCTTACAATATATGAACAATTCAGAGAAAAC